TTTTATCCAAAAAAACAAGTATGAACAACAAGTACTCTGGCCAAAGCCCAGCACTTCATTCTTGTATTGTCTTATATAAATATTCTCTCTTCATACAGTTGAATCACTTATGCTAAAAAATCCTAATGCCAGCAGAAATTGAAAGAAAACCCAGCAACTCAGAAAAAATCCAAAACAATGATTTAGTTTCTATTTTGATGGAAATATGGAAACTTTGTTCCTACTATTCCGTTTATTCTCGTATTGCGCGTTACGACTGAATCTCCATGTCATATGATTCGAGTCCCGACGGCAAACTTTTCAACTCTAGCTTGACAGCTGGGTCGAGTACAGCTGCTGTCTGAAGGAGAATCCTAAGAGGCGATTGCTCTGATCGGTAGTTTTCCGTGGTTCCTCCGATTAACATTAGGTGAATGCTGGAGCAGTAACAAACGGACCACATGCAATCTGTCCGTTCTCTTCCTTGTTACTTTCAACTATGCTTTTACACACACACACACACACACACACACACACTTATATTAACATGCACCTCTCTACCACACTTTTCACGAGACCATTCGGGAGATTAGAGAGTGTGCAGGCGGGAGTGGCGCCCCGCTGATGGGAGATATCTGGTTGGACACGTTCCCTCAAGCTGACGTAAGTCGAGGCGGATCTCGCCATCCAACAACGGAAGATCACCGCAACCACTCTCAATTAAAAAAAACATTCTTCGCACTTATGGGACTAATAATCTTCACCGTTGATTCGCTCGGAATTACCAATAAATCAATCAACCTCCTTAAACACATTCAGTGTGATCACACTTACCAATCAGTTTCTGCGCTCTTTGACACTCATCTGCCGGTTTGTGCAATGGAATTAACAAAGCGTCTTACTACCATAATTATCCTCATCTTACGAATTATTTGATCTCTTCTATTATTTTATTTTAACTCTTTATGAATTGTTAACTTTCTCTGATATTTATAAACAGTTTTACATCGCCTCACATTCTCTCAGTTTTCATACGGATGGCATTTTAATTTTTTCTCCATCTGCATGTCAGTCTCTTTTATTCTATGTGTCATCTCTATCGCCTCATCCTCGCATGAATTTCCACCAACAACATAGAAAGCAGTTAATCTCATATATTCTTCATGCTCATTTCCATAGTGTATAATGCCGAATATTTTTCTCATCAGTGTATCTTAATCTTCCCATCTTTTGTAAGATACCCATTTATTTTCCGTAATTTGAGATTCTTTTCCCTACTTTCATATTTCTCGTTATTACTCTTAATCGTTCTTAGCGTATAATTCGATTCACTTTACAATTAATTTGTTCTGTATATTAGCTTTATTTCTGTGAGTGTATATTTTATTACGAAAAGGTAATTATATCACCTTTATGCTTTCTGCCATATTATTTTTATCTCTTCGCAACAAACATCTTACGTAATTCGTTTTTTTCATTTTCAATTAGGAAATGCGCAATAGCACTTCTCCTAATCACTCTTCCTTATTACTTGTCCTACTTTTTGTGGCATTTCTCTTCGTGCTGGTCAGTGAACTCCGCTTTCGTTCATCGTTCAACTTTGCGCCGCATTTCTGAACAACTGACTGGCAGCCACTCAATGAAGAGAGACGCTTGAGAAGTTTCCGCGGCGTCAAGAAGTTGGCAGCTAATTGGGCTCTCCCGTCACGAGTGTTTGTAGCTTTGAGAAGGGCTCGACGTGGTTTATAACTCAGGCAGATTTTTAGGACCCATCCCGGCCTCTTTCTATATTATGTGAAGAAAATAGTGGAAATAACAATAATCTGTTTAGTGTGGCGTCTTCAATGGTGAAACTAGTTTAAAACGTATTTTGATATTTATTACTTTGATATTTTCAAAATTTGATTACAAGGTTATGAAACATTCCTCATGAGCTGACCACGGCACCTGGATTAATAACTGTCTTGCCCCAAATAGTGGGCCTGAAGAGGTTTAATCCTAAGTGATATACCGGCGGCAGATACACATAAGTTACCGGATTTAAATTAGTACATGTATGTACTGGGCGCGACAGCCCGTGAACGGGCTCAGGCCTACCGGCGACGTCCCTGCCTCGCGGCCATGGGTTAAGAGGAAACGTGTGGTTAGCACGTAGACATCCACACGTCGTATTCCGGTCTTCTGCACCTGAGAAGTGAATTTTCTCATCGTCACACGGCAACATAGACTGGGACATTGAAAGGAAAGCGCACACTATAATGTTGCCTGACTGGGAATCGAACACGGAGATGCGTCTAGGAAAGCGAGCACTCTGATTAAGAGCTATCCCCGAGCCAAAATTAGTATATTGTGCTTTAAATTATCCTCTCAGGATTAATATACATTTTTCTTAGTAACATTCTCATCGAAGATCCATTTAATTCATAATGAAATATTCATATTTAATGACAATATGTGGAATCCTCCAAATTTAAATAATTTAAAAGAACTTTCAGTATTTTCATGCGTTTAAATAATATTTCGTTAATAATTTACATTACATTTTAACACCCGAGTAGTATCCATGCTAGACAAATGACATTAATATATGTGAAATTTTGTCAATGTGTTGTTGATTGAAATATATTTGAATGAAATGGTATTGAGAAGAAATTTCCATTGAATTTTAAACAATACAGTACTTATCTGACAATTTTATGTTTCTAGGACTACTAAACACGCAAAGGAGAGTTATGTAATTTTTAAAGCCCACACAATTACTCAGATATATTTCCATTAACTTCTTTTTGCTTTTTAGGGACGAATTTTGTTTCTCTCATTAACTGCGGTGCATAATAGTCTGCAAATTCAATCTTTGTTGAATAATGGCTTTCCAGAGGATCAGACGTATAAAGATACATTAACTTATCCATTGGCGTTGTTTGGACTGCAATGTGGTGGAAACAAAGAGGAATTGTTTGTTTTTAATTACTGTCGATTTTCTACGAAAAATTGATGTTTGTGCGCAAACAGTATCCCGTGAAGCAAACAGAGGGCATGTGTGGCTGGTGTCTAGAATGTCGATAAAAGTCGAGGAATGCTGCCACACAAGATGTGCCAGTTCCAGAGCGCTGAATGAGAGATCTCTTGTAGCAGTCACTTCCTCCGTGAATAGCTATGTCGTCAGCGTACCGGTTTGCGTGTTTTCAGTCGACTGAATGTATTTTCTTAGGTCAGGAAGTCATGTCATACTTAATTAACGCGAAACAAATTAATAAACTGTTAAAGAAACAACAGTGGAACAGATTCTAGAATTTGTTTATAAATAATCCAAATTGATTCATGGTATTAATATCACTTAAAGCTTATTGACTCTTTAATGTTTGTTAAAACACCAAAGCAGTCGATCCTTTCCTCGAATTACCATTGATTCATTACAAAAGTAATATATCAATATCTTGACAGTTTTGGTACAGCTATCTCTGTATATGTATTGTATAATGAATAACTGTTGAACTTTATAAAAATTCAAATATTGAATATTCACTAACATTTTCACTTCTTAAAAGACGCTGCCTATTCTGCCAAGAACCTTTTTTGATATATTTTTAATTACATATATGATTACAATTTGTCATATTCCTTGGTCTTTTTATGATTACAATGTTAACATTCGAATACTTGATGTACTAAGACATTAAAATAGCGCAAATATACTTATAAAACGTACATAAAATTGTACTCTACAAAAACACTTGTCTTGTCCTTTGGCTCGACAGCCGGATATGGGTCTTCGCCGATTAGCGTTGGCCCAGCCTCTCGGGAAAATATAATACCACAATTGCTAGTTTATTATATTATTTCAAAAACAAATGTACGAAATTGGATAAATCAATGTTTCAAGGTTTCATCACAATACTCCTAAGAACGTCTGCGATCGCTCTTCATTATCTAGCGTCTTTGTCAGGGAGCTTCTAGCGCTTGTGTTTCGGACAGCAACATTCACTGGAACTACTGTCTGAAGGATGATTCTAGCGGTAGACTGCTCTGGGCTACAATATCCATAGTTTCCACGATCAATGCAATTTCGACAAACTTCATTTGATATTATTTAAAACATACGTACTGATAAATATAATGTGTGTAAATTTACAGTAATGTAAATATTAACAACGTGAGAGACAAGTAAAAAAATACAATTCTCTAAATCCTGGAACACCAATACCATAGAGTAATATGACTTTTATATCATCTTATAGAGTATGTTTATCCCTAGCAAAAAATTAAAGAAAAAAATTGGAGCCATTTTTGAGAAAATCTTGTTTTTGTACACTTTTTTAATATTGCAGATATTGCACGCAACATTGCTCGAAAACTACTAAAATTTTCGAAAGAACTGACTATGAACAAAAAATGTCATTTGAAGGAAAAAGCTGTACCTTTAATTTTGTAGTTGTAGAAAGACGCCAGAAATAATTCAAAATTAAGAATTTTTCGAAAATTCGGAGTTAACGCTAAAAATCAGATAAATGCCACCTTCATAAGTTTATTTTATTGTATTCTTGAATGTTCTTCTTGAATAAATTCTAGAAATGTTTTTTTCAAAATTTAAAAGCTTCAACTAGAACCAGATGAACAAGGGTTTCTTCAATTTTGAAAAAACTCTTATGCATGGGTAAGGTGCTAGTGGTGTTCACAGACGGATAGACAGACGAACATAGGCGTCAATTGATTTTTCAACATCAAAGACACACAGTACAGAGATTATGGAAGAACCAGGCCTTAGAGGAGTTGTTTTTCTTAATTTAACATTCCACGCAAAAGATTAGAATCGGCTTTTTAGGATTGATATAGAAAGGGTTACAAGTAGTACAACAAAATAGCATCTGCAAAACATTTGACCAATCTGTTCAAACAATCTATAAAATCTAGTCCTACGACTTTTTTTAAAAAATTGACAGAAAACATTTTTCTAGACATACAGATTCCCACATGCATGACTATATAGACTTTGTAATGTATTATTTCCATTGAATTGACAGATGTTTCGAAGTTTCCGATTCACGAGAGCTGGCTGCGTTTGTGTTGCAGGAGGAGCGGTCGTCGTCGGCGTCGCACGTGTCGTCGGCGTACGCGGCGGCGGCGGCCGCGGCGGTGGCGGCGGCGGCGCGGGGCGGCGGGGCGACCTGGGCGCGTTCCCCGCCCCAGCAGCCCCTCCAGCACCGCGCCGCCGCCCCCGCCCTGCCTGGGCTACACGGCGCTGGGGCCCGGCCCGGCCTCGCCCCCGCGCGCGCCCAGCGACGCCTCGCCCTCGCGCCTCTCGCTGCAGTCCGGCAGCTTCCAGTGCAGGTGAGCCGCTTCACACACAGTTTATTCCTTCAATCGTCCACGTTTTCATTCACTCATTTCTTCATTCATTCATACACTTTTTTGTTCATTATTTCAATGAATCATTCATCCATTCATTTCTTCATTATTTTATTCAATCATTCATTCGTTCCTTTGTCTGTTCATTCATTGACTCATTCACTTTTTTCCTTCATTCATTCATTCATTCGTTCGTTCATTCATTCATTCATTCATTCACTCTTTTTTCATCCGTTCATTCATTTACACTCGTTTGTTCATTCTTTTATTCATACATTCGTTCAATTATTAATTAATAAATTTATTCATTCATTCATTCTTATGATATTGATGAATTCTTTTTTATGATTTCATTCTTTATTCATTTATTATGGTAATTTTCTAAAAGGATTGATATTACAAATAGCTTTGTGCAAAACATACCTCAGCCGCAATAAACATGTTGGAATACTATTCAACGAATGGTTCCTGCTTTTGCATGAGTTTGCTGCAGTTATTGACCTCGTTACCAGTCACTCCAAACTGTCTGACGCGATCCGCCTGAATCTCGAAAAGTGGCGTGAGCTTAGGAACGCGAACGAGGCCGCTGACGCTAACGCGAACGTCTCCGACGTGGAGTTGCGGGGTCACGTGACGTCGGGGTGCTGCCGCGGTCGCGGGCTGGAGAGACCGCGTAGAGCCGCCCGAGTGCACGGAGGCGGTGTTCGCCCCCCTGGGGTTCTCCCCCCTGGCAGTGTTCGTGGGTCCCCGCCACACCGCCGCCTCCCACACACGCGGACGGGCCGACCGCTCTCCTAGGACATATCTTCGCCCAGACACTAACTTGTCGAATCGAATCGACGCCTATCTTTGGTTTTGATTTTACCTTCTGCGAGTAAGGAATTATATTCTTTCGCATTTACCGTCCCGCACTGCTCAAGTCCTCGCGCACACGCACACGGCATGTTCAAGAGAGACACTCCCGGAGTAGCTTCCTCCTCGTCGCGAATGAAGCCATCTTGGCCACGTAGACGCGCGGATGACCCTCGCGCCGCCATCCTGCCCTGTGCGCGCGCTTAAAGTCGTATAACTCCAGCTGACACCACCTGCTCGGATGGAAGGATACGTCTTTCTCTGTCCACCCTTGACTCCTGTCGCTGCTCAGGGATTCCACTGACAATAAGAGCTTTTTGCCACAACTGGTTCTCAAGGTTATCGACCTTGCGCGCCAGCCGCTCGCTTGCCGTCTGCAGGCACAGAATGCACGACATTATCCCCGCTTTATCACTGCAGTGATGCTTAAGAGCGATAGGTATTGGGATATGGTTATGAATAACCAAACGCCACCGCCACTAATTTCACAGGAATGTACGTGCTTTTGAGCACCACTAGTGAACATTGGTCACCATTATATGAATTTCTTGCGTACACACAGACCGGACAACACCTGCGGAAGCATCGGATTCGAACAACGGCAATGAGCCCTATATTCTCGAGGCATCTCTCCTCCAACTCGAATCCGCTGGGGAGGCCCTCGTCAAGAGACCGCCTCCCGTTCCCCAGCGCCCGCGCGTCCATGCATCAAAGAGACACTATCAGCGAGGAGAGGGCTCCGTCAATTTATCAAACCCATTCAGGCTCGCAGCCGCCTACGACGCTCCTCGCTCAACCGCCCTCGCCGTCGCCCACCCCCTCGCGGTCGCTCTCGTCGTCGCCCTCACCGTCGCCCACCCTGCCCTTCGCCCTAACCATCGCCCCCACCGTCTCCTATTTCCTTACCGCCAGGCCATTGCACATCTCCCACACGACGTCTTTGACATCCCTCACACTCCCCCACACCGTGCCTCCTTGCAGTCGCTTCTCATTCGTCTCTCGCCATCCCCCACGCCCGTCCCTTCCCAGTCACCCCTGGCCGTCACCCAACGCCTCGCGTTCGCGTCACTCACCGCTGGTGCCCTCCCTCGGCGCCCATGCGCGTCGTCGCCACAACCCTCGCCTCACGGACCGTTCGCCCACGCCTCCTCCACGTCTCGGCCCACGCCCCTCGCCATACTCACACCCACGCCGTCGCCCACGCCGTTCGCCAATCGCGGCTGCCCCACGCATTGCCCTCGCCCCTCGCCCTCGCTGTCAATCCCCGGCCGCCGCCCTCACTCGGTCGCCCTCACCATCCTTCGTCCTCGCCCTTGCCGTCGCTCTCGCGTCCTCTCGCTCTCGCTCTCGCGTCGCCGTACGCCCTGCATCGCCCTCATCCTCTCCGATTACATAAATAATAAATTTAAAATTGCCAGCGCATCATATCCAGATGTTTCAGGAAGCAAATTGATCGAAACAAAGCAATTACGAGTATAACATTATTTTAATATCTCTTTCGTAACAAAAATATTGCAGGATCTTTGCCAGAGAATGAGGGTATTTAGTTTTTCTGCTATCCTAATATTAGACAATTATATTTATTCAATGTCCCTCCGCTCTATTCGTCGCAAGTATTGATAGCGAAATATATATTGTACATAACAAAGATTTGAACTATCTGGGCAATGACTTCACATCATGTGAACACAGAATAAATGACGCGATGTGCGGATCGGAATCAACTTTGGCTGAGAAAGGAAATGACCTCTTTTGTAAGAATGACTAAAGTGTTCAATGTTTTCCCATCAAAATGTCTTTTCAAAGATAGATGAGTACTTTTAGAATTTTCCAACGGTGTCCACTAACAAGAGAACGAAGGAGAAGGAGGAGGCTTGTAAATGCTTAACAATTGACCATAATTTCCATGTTATAATTATAGAGCGGATTTTAATGAAATGTAATCGTTTTCTTCTCACTTTTGAATAATGCATTTTAGAATAGATAATAATTTTATGATATTACAAAAGCAAAGGACCCATTTTTATTTGACATTTTTCTGCTTGTTTCGTTGATTTTTTGCGAGAGTTATTTTTAACAATTTCCCGTCATATTTAAAGCAATTTTTGCTGATATCACTTTAATGGTACTTGCTACAAATAATATTAATGATAAGCCACAAATGCCCTCCACTGAATTACTCAGTAGCCTATTCAATTTCTTCGCTCAGAAATTCACTCGGCAATGTCGGCCGTTGTATGTAATTTAAGGTTCCCGTGTCGCCTTCAGTGTCATTGTCGGTTTGGTCAATTTCCTGAGAAATGCACTAAAGAGAGATATTTCCTGGTAAAGAACGGTACAAACCAAGTGTTTGCGAGCTAAATTCACATGAACGAAAGGAATAAATTTCAATTACATCAGTGACATATCCAACATTTTAAGTTGCTCGTTTAAACTGGTATTGATAAAATATTTACATCATTTTAACGGGCATTTCATTGATCACTTTTGGCGATGTTTTAGGTCATCGCCATAGTAAATCGCTCCTTAGAAATAATGAATGAAAATTAAATTTTGAGATTGTTTTAAAAGAATGTGTTCGGACGTGTGGTCTAACATTTTTGGGCATCTGTTTTTCTGAAAGGAATGAGGATTCAGTTCACTTTATAGTTTTACCTTCATTAAACTACCACTGCTATCTTAGTCGAAAACATTCTTGCCATGTTCTCATCTGCAACACAAATCATTAGCAATACCTTTTTGCTTTACATTTCATTCAAGTTTACAGACGGACAATTAAAATAGCGCATAAATACATAAAATATCAAACAGAATGTTGTTTCAAAAGTTTTGTAGTCCGAAACATATTGTATTCGTAATTTTTTCTCTTTGCTAATATTATTTTTCATTCTCATGTTAAAAATGTTACGGCGAAAAGCTCATTTTCCAACACGCTACACAATTCTACCTGAAATAACATTGTGAATTATTCGTAACGCACGAACATGCATCAGGGCACCAGGGTTTCATGAAAGGTGAAACGTATAGCCTCTTCACCTTTCTCCTAGCATAACAGCCTTCACCACAAAGGACGCGGCTTACAGTTCTTTGTAGAGGATGAATGTTCGCTTCCTCCCACCGACACGAACCTGGAAAATATGCTGACTTGTCCTTATCGCTGCAAAAGATGGTGTGACTTCGTACGTAATCTGTCGCTTACAGCCAGTGGTGATTATGTGCGTAGCTCTAGCTTGCATGTGATTCACAAGATTGGGGTGATACATTCTTGGATGAGCCAAACAATTCAGATTTTTCAATATCCTTCATCATTTTTTCGTGAAAAACATTATCATTTGCAAAAAAATAAGTTTCCAATATATTTTCTTGGGTCAGTTTTAAAATTAGCAAATCAACTTTATTTAACATTATGTGTACATTATGTTTTTCTTTTCTCTTTACTTTCTCAGCATACTCTATACTGTAACTGAGAAGTTCGGAAATGCGTTTATGGAAAATTTCATTAATTCGCTTAGCAAAAATACATTTCAGACTTTTGAATGTTTATACAAACTGTGGCTTTGTACAACGATACTTGCCCAACGACTGTAAAATTTAATCAAGATTTGTGTTTATAGCGTTATATTTAAAACGCCACATTTCAGAAATTTTGAAATTTTTTATACTAAAAAATTAACTTCATTAAAACTTTTTAGCAATGTTAAAATGATTACATACGGCTAACATACCTTCGTGGTACCCACAACTTTGGCCTGGGTGTGGAAGTTGAAATCCGGTGTGAAGCTATTTCCAGTTTCATAATAATAATTAACAAAGTGAGGAATATTAATACGGGCCCAGATAGTTACCCTAAAACGAACACAGTTAAATTCAGTATTTTCAGAAATAAAGTAAGCTTCGCCTTTTTTACACCTCAAAACTAGAAATCATTGGAAAAAGATATAATGTATCCCTGTCACATTTATCTTGTCATAAAGCTGTTAGTTTTAGGATGGTTTTGTTACGTTTGTAGTGTTTTATTACTGAGTAGCATTCGTTAAGCAACTTTCAAAAACCTTGATGAAATATAGGGCGGACGGAAATATTTCGGGTACTTTTTCTGCAGCCACACATGCCTAAGCATTGTGCTAAATGTGACATCTGTAACCCGCGAACGAGGTTATTCCACGAACAGATACAATGCGTCACCTACGCTCCCAAAAGGTCTAGTGGCCTCGTGTTTATAGTTACATGCGCAGGCAAATTCAAATTCATGAAGCAAATATCATGTTAAGAGGCAATGCAATTTCAGGCAATGCAAAATTAGTTTAAATAGTTGCATAAACGTTGATGAAGTGACAATTCACATTCAAGCTTAGACAATTGGTATTATGTACTAAATGAATGCAATAGTAGACTAAGTGGAAAGTGAGTTTTTTTATTAATTAAAACTGCTATATTATGAAACCTATTATTCCTATAATTACTGCAGCTAACAATGAAAAAGTATTTCGAGACTTTCATGTGTACCGTTTTAAATGATATTTGAAGACAGTTGTGACTGATGTTTTGTTGATTATGATTGATTGTTGTGGGTGAGGGTTATGGCGTGTGTTCTCTCTTGTTTAACTTAGCTAAGGAGCGCAACTGTGCTTTCAAGTGCTTGGCGAAAGTGGCATAATTTCATCTCCTATTCTTGGCAGTTAGACCACTTAATTAGCCACTCTCTTTGCCACTTCTACCACTCTCGTAGCAGAATACAGTTAGACTAAAGTATCGTTTCTTACCTCAATTATGTCTCTGAATTGCAAATAGTTGAGCTCTCAGTAAAGAGCCTTTAAACCGTCGTAGATTGGATAAACACATCATTTATTTTAACAAATGAATTCTAGAATCGATTTTCAATTTTTACCAAAAAGCATTTTTCTGCATTGATATATTACCCCTTTCTGTATACACCATTAGAAGATTCAAATTTCAATTAGAAAGCGGTTTTTTGGTATATTAAAAACTTGTTTCTATGTACCTCGCAACTTATATTTCTCGCGGATGTTCATTAGAAATTATTTAACACTGAATCGCTGGCTTCAGTAAGATGTGACATGCAGTATCGCGTCTGTTGAAGGACTAGCTTTCTATGTCTGTGCTCCAGTGTTCAAATTCCGGTCATTAAATGGGAAATTTACAGTGTACTAAGCGGATTTACGGTAGTATTTCGCAGAGCTCTCCTGTTTCCTTCCAACTTCTCCGTTTTCACACTGATAACTCTGTACATAACAAAAATCCCCTATTATCTTAGTATTCCGACCCTCCTGAGTATAAGCAAGCAAACAACGCTGGCCCGACATCGGTCGTCCTGTGACAGCCCGGGTCCGCAAGACATCCAATATTCCGTTTCTAAAGTAAACACAGTTTCACAGGAATGTGAAAAATTCAAGGCAGCAAACCACCTGGTGGAGTGCATCTCAAAACGAGTCTTAATGAGGG